TTGCACAGGATATACGGCAATGAACAAAATGGGTACACAAACCCAAAGCAGACGTGTTCATTAGCTTTCATTGTGTCTGGCTACCACTATTACATCACAGGCTTACTTACCAATGTAACACTAATTAATTAGAGTGCTAGAAGTTAACTGACTTTAGAGAATGAATGTCAGTGCACTGTATCTGTATTTGACTGGTAGATTTAGGGGCCGATTGCACTGGAAACTATTTTTGAAGGTTTATTTTTAATGGATTTGAAACTATCTGTGTCCTGGCTAACCTTTTGGGGAGTGTGCACCATGTGTTTTTTTGGGGGAAAAAAATCAAGTTCAATAGTGTTCCACTTTGAAGTATAAATTATCTGCTGTGGTTTTACTCAAGACCAGAGTGGTGTTGTGAGACTCGGAAGGAGTGTGCATGGTAGTATATCATTATTCATTGTTGATTATTTTTAAATGCATTTTAGTTTTTTTTAACCTGATAACAACAACAACAACAACAAAAGTATTTGAAGGAACAAAAAGCTGGGTAAGGAATCCATAGTTTTTGGTTTATTCATATATTCATTGATGGCCATAAAAATGGGTCATCTATTGCATCCTGTCAAAGTCTTGCACATTATACACATGCCATCCACCTCCATGTTACTTTTGAACATAATAAAGGTAGTGATTATGTTTGACAACTTAGCACTTATTACAGACAGTGTTAGTTTAAACTGGTTGGAGTTGGTCTTACTAAAAAGAGAAAGCAGATGTGCCCTTTTCTTCAAGTCTGATTGACTTATGATTTGCTCTTAGCCTTTCTAAGGTAGAAATGTACTTTGAATTGAACAAACTTTGTAATTGAAATTTATGAAAATTCTGTGTCAGAAGATTCCTTTGATTTTATATATTTCTTCTATGTTTCTTTTGTTTTTGCCTTCCTGGAGATTTCAGGGCTGCTAAAAGCATACGTCTCACTGTGTGTGTGCACAGAGATCCAGACATGCTGTAAAAGATAAATATCCGGCTGTCTAGCAAAAATCCTTTCTCAACTCTTAAGACCGGCCGCTGCTTCTTCAGAAGATCCTAATCTATGAGATTCCTTCTTTCCTCTACATCTATAGAACACAGTCCTCCTCCACCTACCTGCCTTTTTAAACCTGTCCACTCTAATATCTATTTAATTAATAACAATTATTAATAATATTATTATAATTAACAATAATAATCATTAAATAAACTCCCTGATATGGGTCAAGTGGCTGATTATGCACTAGCTAAATATTAGCTGTGATTATATACTGTGTTTGTCAAGGGATCTGATATGATAATGCAATCTTATAATATATGTACACAAAGCTAATTTCTGATGACCCAGTTGGGTAAAACCTTTATAATCTGTTTACCTGCATACTGAAATAAAGTACTATCACTTCAATTACTTTTATCACTAGAAATATTAGTGGAACATGCTGTCTAATTAATGAAATGACCTGCATACATTTTGATTCTGTCTTACACAAGCACACCTGACTTCATTCATCATTTGAACAATTCTTTTTGACTTGAATACCTATAATACAAGCGCTAAAAATAATCAATCGGTCTAATTTTAAATTGTAATAGTAAAGATAAATGCTCAGTTTACTTTCTGTTGACATCAAAGTATTCTTCAGGGGTGGCTCTAGAGTCCCGTTACTTTTTTAACTTTTTTAGTTCAAATATTTCCAAATAAATATTGAGATATGTGAATATTTTAAATTCTATTCAATTTTATCTGTATAGCGCTAAATCCTAACAAAAGTTACAAAAGTTATCTCAGCACACTTTTTGAGAAAGAGCAGGTCTAGACCGTACTCTTTATAAAAGTTTAAAGTCTTCATACCACCCTCTGGCCACCCCATGAATATTTCTCTAGATCCACCCCCTTATGCTTGCAGGCCTCAAACAAAACCATATAGAAAGGGAATAAAATATGCTGTAAATAATTTGTCAAGCATTTATGTCATATTATCTATGTACGTATACAACTGTCATTGTTTTCCCCCCTGGAATACTATTTTTGTCTTAAACAGGACAAAAGGCACAAACATAATCCATGCAAGTAGGTGAATGCAGACGCTTTGAGCCACGCAAGATCCATTTAACGCGTCGCTGTGTTTCTGCGGTGTGTTATCTGAAAATCTGAATGCAACGAAAGTGCAAGCTGCAGTCTGAGCATTGCAGCTAGTGGCACCATAGCACGAAAGAGAAAAAGAGAGAGCTGACGCCTTCTGTTTGAATTTACTTCTTAGTCATTGTCATTTGCGTTCAGATAAATTGCGTGGATCATATTTGTGCCCTAAGAGTCTACAGCCATGCTAACATGCTCACAATCACAATTCTAAAATAAAGCAGGTACCAAGGTTAGCTTGATAGCATAATATAATTTGCTAATTAACTGTAAATGCACAGCTGGGAATGTACTTTGTTTTAATAGGTGATTTGGTCATAAAACAAAGTAGTGGACAAACAGAAATGTTGACCTGATGATGGCGCTATATGAAAAGTCAGGGCACCCAAATAACTATCCTGAAAGAAAGAAAATGAGTATAACAAATTTTATGGTAATCCATCCAATAGTTGTTGAGATATTTCACTCAAAACCACAAATGTAAACCCCAGTACAACAGTCAGGGTCAGTAGGATTTTTTCTTTGGTAACCACAAATGTTTGCACAACGGTTCATGGCAATCTATCCAACTGTCATTGAGATATTTCAATTTGGACTAAAGTGGTGGTGGATGCACAGACGAACAGACTAACATTGCATCCCTAGAGCCATGCAGGTAGAATGGCTAAAAATAAAGACATAGGCAATGCTGAACAAATCATTATTTCATTTGTAAACAGACATTTCAGTGGTCAGTCACGCTTGCATGCGCAAATGCATATAGTACAAGAACACATGGACCATGCCTGTACAAACATATACAAGCCATCATAATAGTACTCTATCAATCATGACGACAGGCAGAACAGGTCACCATTGTCTGCCAAGGCATGACAAGATGATTAATTCTGTCTCAGTTGGCACATAAACACAGACAAAGAAGACCACAGCAGCCATGACTGCAAATTTATTGTTCAGCAGGTAGATGTGATGACAAAAGAAATTGGGTTAAACTACATTTCTCATCCTCCCAACTCAGACTGTGTAATATGTAATGCCTAACACTAACCTGGAGACGCAGATACAAACACAGACGCACACATGCATAATGTTCCACTGCCTCCTCCGTCTTCTCATTAGCCATTTACCTGTCCTAAAACTGTCACAACTAATAAATAGTTTTAAAGCCTTTGTCGCAGCAAGTAAAAAAAAAAAAAAAAAACTGCATGAATAATGGTTTATGCACAGTGAGACCTAGGATTTATGTGCTTATGCAAGTGGAAAATATTGCTTGAGTGTAGAATATTATGTGAAAAAAAGTGTTTGCTGCAGGTTGTAGGTTCAGTTTACTTAAAATGTAAACTGAGATGGCATTCATTATAGAACCTTCATACATGATCAGCTTTCTGTAGATAGAATAAATGAAGTGTCTTTTTTTCTGGTGAACTGAATCAGTGGTGATTTGTAGAGAGTAATGACTCCATTTTAAAGCTGTCATGTACTGTATGTGTGCAATCTGTACCTTCACAGCTAGATGCCACTCAATCCTACCCACTGGTCCTGTGAAGCATTAGTACCTGATTAAGTAAGATCCCCTCCAGACTCTCCTTTGAATAATACAAAGGTGATCCATACAAAAAGTTAAATTACTTAATTAAAACTTCTTAAAAGTAGGCTACTTCTACTCCTACTCCCTCGTTGAAAAGTCCAGGAATCTATTAATATTGAAGTATATTGAAGTGAAATAGCTGTCAGAATTTGTGTACACTACAGCCAGGATAAATGCCGGTGTGCTTTCTGTACACTGTAAATGAAGTGACTTTCATTATGTAACCTTTTATAACTTTCATTTCCCTACTGGGGTTGGGTTGAGTGAAGGGTGCTAAACCGTTCAGCACCCTGTCCGCTCAGTGCTCTTCCAGCTTGGATGCATCAAGAGAGCTGCAGATGTTGGTCTAGATTACAGCTACATTACATTGTTAGAGCTGCTTCCCTCTTTACCCTGGGGCACTTGTTCAGTTCTGTCATCAAAAGATTAGAAGTGGTCACCAGTCTGTATGAAAACACCGAGGCTGAACGGGGGGGGGGACATGTTTTTCCACCCTTGAAGTAGTGAACCTTCATATTTTCTCTCTTTGTCTAGGTTGATGATTTGGAGAACCTAATTTCTGAGCAGAAGCTAGAGGAGAGATGGCACAGTTTGTTTTCCTATCCTCTAAATTGTTCTTTAATGTCAGCTGGGATAGGAAGGTGGTTCTGATGAATGAAATTCCCCCCAGTTTTCAGTATCTCACAGATATTAAAAGGGCCCTAGGTCACCGACACAGACAGGCCTTGCTTACTGATCTTTATTGGGATATTTTTTTTGAGGACCCCAGAGTCACAACAGGGATTGGAGAGTGTGAATCATAAAGATTTCTTTATATTAAATATGTTTTGGACTGTACTCTAAAACCTAAGTCTGCAGTTGTTCTTGGTCAATACAGCCCAATAACGAGCCCAATTCACCTCATCCAGTACAGAAAAAGTGTCTCATGAATCAAAATACACATCAATAGAATTTATGAAGTACTATAATGGCCCAGACGTTATCTCTATGTTCTTTAACGGTCATTCCTACATCAAACAAATTTTGAAGTACATGATAATAGATCGAGCTTATTAAATAAATACAATTTATTAATATTTCTATTGTCTCAGCTTGAGTTATGTAGGTGATACATAATAAGTGATGACACACAATATATTTCAGAGCTACATAGTGAAATGAAAGTGAAACATATCATCCAGACAGACAGGCTGAAGCTTGCAGGGTAAAAGGGATATAACTTGATAGTTAAAGGTACAGTCACTGCACCAACTTGCTATAAAGCCATTGAAAGCCAAAAGGCACACACATACGCCTTTAATTAAACTCTGAACAGAGCAATGATTGTTTTTTATCTTTTGCCAACTTCCTTTTACTGCTGCTACTCATTGCTGCACTGCTTCAGGTATGAGAATATGTTTATTTTCTTCTAGCTGTCTTTAGTGAAACCAATAATGTTTTCACAGTAGAAAAAAATATGATGTAAACAGCATCCGAATTTTGATATTCAGTTTTTGTTTAATCTATTTTAGAGAGATATGGGTTTAAATATATGGTCGTTCTGGAGGCTGTAGGTTGTGATCCTGTTACATTGTATTGTGTGTTACTGAATTGTTTTTGCTATATTTAGTCTAGCCTCATTAATATATGTGTATGGTGTGTGTGTGTATGAGGCAGCAGGGGATATGATCGACAACCAGACACACAACCAGACAGACAGACAGTTCAAGGATTTTAATGGCACAGTTACACATTCTGGTTAGGGTCAAAGAGAAGAGGCAGGGAAGCCAAGGCATGAAGCAACATTGCAACTGTAACAATCTGGCATAGGGGCAGATGGGCTGGTATACTTTTTATTGTTTGTTTGTTTGTTTTTTTATTAAACACACAATAACAAACATACAGGAAATTGTGGATAATACATACTTCAAATACAAAACAAAACAAAATAGGGGGATTTATAAGAATAATAACATATGGAAACATAGAAAAACAGCCTAGTAAAACAATCTTCAGCCATAACTAAGAAACTAAATAAACCCATGAGGAGCAGGAATAAAAACAAAACAAAACAAAACAAAAGGGGGCATAAATCAAAACCAGGCTTGTATACATTGTGTTTCAATTGTTCCTTTGAAATGCATGGACCTGGGAGAAGGTAGAAGTTTCTGGAGAAAGGGACGGAGGGGCAGACTGAGCAAAATAAAAACCACTTAAGCAGGTGTTGTGACAATATGGTAAAACTGTTTCATATTCAGCTTAGCTTTTGTTTTAAATTCACTTTAACTGCACCATGATGATGAATAGTAAGAGAGTAGTAGGGCATTTCTACTAATATTCTCACTACTGTCTTTTGTTTAGATAATGGATCTAATGAATTCGCTTGAGACTGCAGACGTTCAGTCACAGCCTGCTGTCCCGCTGTCTCCCTCTATACATGTTCCTCCCACACTGAGAGCTGGTGAGTGTTACCATGTCTTCATTAGCTACAGCAGCACTGACTACCAGTGGACCCACTCCCTCATTAACCAACTGGAGTCCTGCGGCCTGCAGGTCTGCTACCATGAGCGTGACTTCACTCCTGGCCGCACCGTGTTGGAAAATATGTCCGACTGCATCCTGGAAAGCCAGAAGGTCCTCCTGGTTCTCAGCCCAGAGTTTGTGAGGAGCCGCTGGTGTCTCCTGGAGGCCAACATGTCTTTGTTCAGAGACTGTCTGGAGAGGAAACCCATCGTCCCAGTATTGCTGGATCCAGGACTGTCTGTTCCTCTCCACCTCTGCCACCTCACCTACCTGGAGGCTAACAACCCTGACTTTAAGGATAAACTACTCAAGGTGCTCTGCACCCCCAACCTGCAGCTTCAAGGGTCCACTGTGGTACCCTTCCAGCCTCCCTCCATCTACAACGGAAAGGCCCTGCAGCCTTTGACTGCTGTCAATGCTGAGGGACTATATAAATGGGATTCTGGTCAGTTCAGTGACATGGAGGTACCAGACCAACTGCGACTGATCATTGAGGACCACGAGAAGTACAGAAAGGCTGTGAGGATGATCAATAGTGTCTCTCAAAATAAAATGAGACTCTGGGTTAGAGCACTGATGTTTACTACTGCTACGATATGTATATTACTAATGTATGCTCTATTCATATATGCTATATATCAGTTAACAGAAGCATACCTTAATGGCAAGAACAAAACTCTTTGGGCGGTGACTTTGTCTTGTATCTGCTGTGTTTTATTAGGGTGGTTCATTCGGCTTGGTCTCTGGAAAAAGGATGAAGTGAAGTACATAGTGAGGGAGATGCAGAAAGCTGTAGGTCAAGCAAACACAATCCTCTCTGAGGAGAAGGTGTTAATGGGCTGTTGCTCCAATTCAGCAATCCATCTGGTCTATGTTTCTCTGGATGGTTGCAAACATGAGTTTGCAGAAACATTTTCTGAGCAGGTTGTTGCTATGGATATGTTTCAAAGGGCTTTGATCTTCTTCTCATCGGGTTACGCTTGCTGCCTTGCTAAAAGACACTTTCCCTTTCCCACGCCCAGCTCCACTGGTCACCTGGAGGGAGGGGTGTGTTTCTGTCAGTACGTCTCTCAGCAGCTGTGTAAGGGGCAGTGGGAATAGCAGTATTAGTATGGACTTGGAATTCATGAGTAAGTCAGTACAAATAGTGATTCAAGAGAAACAGTAATATCTTCAAAATGACCCAAACATTTTATCAGGATTCCCAAACAATTAATTTTAAAATATAATTTGCTATTGTCTTGAATAAAAAAGAATCAAAAAGATTTTTAATTTGCAGGAAAGGATATTTATTTTGTTTTTCATCTCTCGATTTTACTTGCTGTTAACATGTCAGTTGTATTCATAGAGACTGAGTGACTTATTGAATTCTCTGCCTGACCTAATTACATACGAACAATTCCAAAGAAAGTAGTAGTTTTAAAAAGGTGGGTTACTTGATGATAAGTTTCAGAAGAAAATAAGGCATGTCATAGAGAAAGAAAATTACCGTCATGGTAATTTTATAATTATCTTTTAACAGTGAGACCAAAGGGGCATTATTCAGTCAATATTCAGCTGTAGTTACTACAGTATACAATCCTCAGTTATCATTGAGTAATGTTCATGTCAAATGTGAAAATGTGAACTGGTGACGTCAAAATCTTGTTTGTTTGATCAGCACTGCCTAGTTTGACAGTTTGATCAGAGTTTCATGCGGTGCACTGGACAGACTCACTAAGAACGACTTGTCAATCACAAGATAGCCATGTCTTAAAAGCATACCCTGCTTTAGTCTAAATGTGACCATAATTTACAAAATGAACATCATGCTGTATGGAAGAAGACTTGAAACTAGCAATTAAGACCATAAACTCATTAGGAAAATGTTTACTGAGCTAACAAATAGGGTAATTAAATGCTATATGTGCCCTTTTTTTTCTTTCCGCCCCTGCCCTTCAAAAAGTCTGTGCACGCCACTGGGTTTAAGACACTTCCACATTGACTTCACTTCACAGAAGCTCTGTCCTCTATATACTGTCATGGTTAATGTCCGGTGTATAAATAGTGAACACACCTGAAGAACAACCAAAACCAGGACCAGTTTTTCCACCAGGGTGAACATACACAATACAATATAAAAGCTGCAGAAAAATTGGTAAATATTAAAAGAAACTCTGGTATCTTTGTAAACTTACATATCATTAAACTTACGTCATTTTTCTATTCTGTTCTGTTTTCTATTCTGTGCTTTGTATCTGAATGGACCATTTACAGCATCTGTGTACATGGGTGTATTTTGTTTTATTTATAGATTCCATTTGATCTAATTTGGCTTTTTCCACTTAAAACCAAATGACATCCTGCATTACTGCCATATTTTGAATGTTACTTGTAATATTTTTGTGTTTGATCATTTTCATGCATTTCAATTGTTAATAAATAATAATCAGCATTTTTTAATCACAAAACCAATAAAACATGTGACATCACAAGCACAGTGTTTGTTTCATTTAACTGATGAGGGAAAAAAGTGAATCCCAGAATAAATCGTGGTGAATGTCAATGGGCAATCTCTTGAGAATATACACATTTATCCTGTCTAACACATAATGAATATAACTCCTTCAAAATAAGGGTACAAAAATTTTACTTAAGTAATGCTTAACTATTGCATGACTCATAAATGCAGGATGTATCATTAATTCCTTTTCCTCATCATTAAGAAATATTCAAGTCACTGTGACTTTGTGATTAGTTAACACTTATAGATTAAAAAAGAATTAGAACAGATTGATAATTACTTAATATATTAATTGACATGTCACCAAATAAGCTGTATCCTAGTTACAGGTCAAGTATCAATAGATAAATTAGTGGAGAATGGACAGACATGTTTAAGTTCTAATATAACCCATGAAGTATCAGTCATTACTTAATAATTCCTTATCACATGAGATAACCATTTCTTGTTGTGTCATGTTGTGAAAGGCATCTGCAAATGATTACGTAATGTTAAACAAATACAATAAAGTATAATGACTTATGATTAAATCACAATGAGTCATGGATTAAGCAAGTATATGTTTTGTATCCTGATTATAAAGATTTATAAGATTGTTTTTAAAGCCAAATTATATTTTAATATTTAATGATTCACATAGTTGCCTTTGGGTTGACTTTCAGCAAGCAAGAATGATGAAGTGTTCAGTACTCAGTTCTAATTAAGTCAGTTTTCTTCAAACTGTAGGGGAGGTATCATATATCCAACTAGTTATATAATGTTTTAATTTATGTCAGGTCTGTGGCTTAAGACAGTATAAGATTATCTTATCTGTTGCTCTTTTGACAAGATTTTGTTGACCTTTCCCCACTGTTGCCACCTTATCAGAAACAAAGACCTGTTTGAGATGTGAGCACCGCCATGTACCATAGAAGAAGGATCAATATTTGCTGTCCTTTTACGACATTCAGTGACGGGATTCAGGATATGAAACGGAGACATGACCCTGTTGCCTGAGGGGTTTGTAGCAACAAATCCTAACAAACAGTAAAAAGACACTGCTGAGAATATCAACCAGACCAAGATTGCATGTCACAGAGGTGATACCTGGGTCACACTGCACACATTAAATTCTCACTGTGCCTGATGAGAGGTGGAAATATCCTCTCACTGGTGCAGTTCAATTAAAACTGAATTAGGATGGATTAAGCGTACATGTGTTGGGGTAAAAGAAAAAAAAGCCTTGCTGCCATATAATCATGTTGTGTGCATGCATGATGTAAGTGGCGGGATAATTGCTCACAGTAGCGGCAGTCGTAACGAGAACGATGTCTAATCTTCAACAGTGACTTTCACACTGATATAGCTTAATCACCTCCACTCTCGTAACATCTATTAAAGCTTTATTTGGTCTTTACGTTACAGTGTGCATATGTGCCCGTGTGCACGTTAAGATGACATTTTTCCCCGATCCACACCAGCTATTACTGTGTTCAAATCACAGCAGCATAAATTTCTCTGTTCTCATGTGCAATGAGGCCAGGGTGCTGCAAATTATAGTATAGTTTTCTAAATTAGCTTTCAAAACTGCCTCATACTAGCTACTGTTACACTATGGCATGTTTTGAATTTCAATGGAGTTAATTAAAACATTCCTCTGCCACAGGGCTCAGTATGGAGAGATGAAAGAAAAACAGCAGATGGAGAATGACTTGCTGAAGTAATGAAATGATTGACACAAGCAAATTGCTTGGTTTATTATTTTGTTTATTTAATTTCATTTTTAGGATCAAATATGCACTCAATGTGGACCAGAAAGGTGGCTAGTAAAAGTTTGCAGCTTCTTCCTCCTTAAAGCGCAGTGACTGTGGTCAGTTTGAATTCTTAAAGTAACCACCTAATTACATAAGAAAATATCATATTCCCCTCCTGTAGTTGTAAGTTAGCAGCTTAAAGTCGTCAGTTTCCTCTAAAGGTTGGTCTGGAAATATTCCTGACATGATTTAAAAACCTCTCACTATTAATACCCCATAAGAACAGTTCTGTAAAAGTGAAAGTACTTAAAAGACCATTGTATACGATTCAGAGGCATCTAGTGGTGAAGTTGCAGATTGCAAGCATTTGAATATAGCTCAGACCTCCAAGTGTGTAGGAGAAACTGTGAAATGTGAAAGACCCTATAGAGCCAGTGTTTGGTTTGTCCATTCTGGGCTTCTGTGGGAAGATGGTTGTTCAACATCGTGGACTCTGTAGAAGAGGACCTGCTCCCTCTGAAGGTTAGAATGGCTCATTCTCTAAATGTTACACACTGGACCTTTGAATAAATGTTGTATATTTTACAAATATATATATTTATGGAAATACAGGTGACACACTTTACTGCGTGCTTATTTCTGCCTCCTCATCATGTTGTTTGGGTCTGGAATGTCAAGACAAACATGATAAGTGGCCTCCTGAGGAAACACGTCCTGTCAGCTGAGACAAGAATAGGAGCCACTTTATTTGAGCTCTGCTGTGCCGAGCTGCCTGTGTCGGCATGATAGACAAAGGGGGAGATTAGTGCCAACAGTGATTATTTTTGAATTGCATGAATTTTAATTTGGGATGCTCATATTGAACCACTGGATGAAAAATAATAATCATAATAATGCATTCATTGAATAAATTAGCCTTGATTTTTAAGTTGTAAGCTAAATTTCCAATGCCGAATCCATGACCCTGATATTGCCTGGGTGTAAAGAGGCCACTGAGGGTAGTGTATTGACAGTGTGTGTGCATCCATGTTTAAAGGGTTTCTCAGTTCAGGTTGTTTGCTTTGTAGGCTTTGCTTAAATGTATCTATAGCATGCCTATCTGCAATACATAAATCTTCATTATCATATATAATGTGCACTGTGACACTTGTGTCAATAATGTGAGGTTAAACCAACACAGTATATCAAACCACTGATATGGAGCAGAGGTTTGACCAGATACAAGTTGAGCGGGCAAACCAAACCCAACCCCCGTTTAAAAAATAAATCTCTTATCAGCAGACAACCTTGTGACATCAGCCTGCAAGACCCTGAAAGAGAACCGCACTGGAAAGAAAAAGAAAAGGACGAGGAGTCCTGACCAGACCCTTCAGTCAACACTGGGGAGCTGGTCTGTGCAGTAACAGATGTATTCCATGCTGGCAGTGACCTAATGCAGCAGCTCCCTCTGTAATGCTCAGTTAGTGGTGACTTTAATCTGAAAGAATGGGCACCTTTCAGCACTTGCCAACTATCCACATTGCACGTGCCAGACACACAAGGCAGAATAAAAACATGAATTCTGGCCAGCTTCTGACATGAAAAACCCCCCAACAACCTGATACTTCATGTTTAATGTGCATATATCTAGATATATAACACATAAAAGACATAACTGAATGGGTTGTACATTTGTTAAATGTTTGGAGGATGGTAGGACTCTGCATCAATCTTATACGAGATTGTATGAAGAAACTAAAATAATATGCAGGATGAGATGATAACTTCACTTCTCTGGCTTCATGTTCTTCAAATCTATGTAATTTACAATTATTCAACGTAAGGAAAAAAACAGCATGTGAAACTGAAAGGTCTCCATGGATTTATCGCATTGTCTTGCCTTAATGCACTCTTTAGATTTAATTAGATGCTGACATGAAAAGGGCCCACCATTCTGCCGCTCCTAAACCTCTCACAGACATGTTATGTAAAGTCCACACAGATACAGACAGTATATCAGTCACAATATGAAGACAAAAAAAAAAGTATTCAGTTTGTACCTGTCACATAGATTTATCAGCAACTACTGGAAATGTAGTAGCTCAAAACAAGCCAAGTAAATCTCACAGAATCTCAGGTTTCAGGTAAAGTTGTTATTTCAGAGGTTATGGGTCTGTTTAATGTTCCCTTAAGAGAAAGATTCACAGATATGGCAAATGTCTGGCACCGAAAAACAAAAGCAGGAAGAACAAATGTGACATGGACAGATAAGGTCTTAGAAAAATATATGTCTTGCCATAATGATCTATTATTTTAAAAGTACTCTGTACACATATAATCAAAAATTCATTAGAGGCTGTTTTTCTGTTGCTGTGATTTTGCCTCGTGAGCTCTCCCACAACATCAAGTCCCTACATAGTCCCACAGAACAGCGTGCCACTTGGCATGGCGTGCATCTCATCAGCTATTCATTATCATTTTTTGGGAATCTACAGCCACACAAAGTCAAGGGGCCAAATGGCTGCCATGGCTCACAAGCTTTCTGCAGGAAAAAAATTGGCAAGGATTAGAGTCCAGCAACTGTGGTGAGACAGTAAGTGAAAGAGAAATTTTCGAACTCCCCTGGCACTCACTGAAATGCCTACTGATCCATCAGTAAGCCATGCTGCTACAGATCTAAATGGCAGACACTACAAAGGAACAACTTGATCAGTGATCCCACACATCCTTCTTTTTGATAGCCAAGCCCTGTAGCGTGAGCCACTGCAATAATGGTAAAGCTGCTGGGCTGTAATGTTGTGCCTGCTCAAGATAGCTCAAAGGACTTTTGTGTAGCTACCTGGAAAATAATCTTGACTCAGAGAGTGAAAATCTATCTTGTATTTTTGCTGCCAAAATCGTATCTACTCCTAATCTATTCAAGATTGCAAAACAGAAAACATGTTGCTTACTGCTTGTCAGCTGACTCTGACAAGTCAGTCTCCATCTGGCAGACAAGGAGGATGTGAAAGTTTAAAAATACATGTAGTTTGATATTTATACTCACCCAAAAGTTTCATCACCGTATGTCTTGAATTGTATTTACTTTAAATTATAAAACCAAAGAAAATCAGGTGACCATGTACACCTGTGTTATTGTTGCGTGTTATTGTTACTAGTTCAATTCAATTCAATTTTATTTGTATGGCGGCAATTCATAACAGAAGTTATCTTGGGACACTTTACAAAATAGAGCAGGTCTAGACCGTACTCTTTATAA